TTCCTGGAGCTCACTTGGTAGCCCAGGCTGGCCTCGAACTCACAAAGATCCGCCTGCCTCTGCCTCCCGAGTGCTGGGATTAAAGGCGTGCGCCACCACGCCCGGCCGATCAGGCTGTCCTTAAACTCACAGGGATCTGCCTGCCTCTGCCTCCTGAGATTAAAGGCATGTACTACCACCGCCCAGCTTCCCCAAGACTTTCTGATGCAACTAATTTATATACTCATTTGGAAATTATCCGTTGTAAAAAAAAACTTTTAATTTGGGCATGGTAGTATATGCCTATATTCCCAATACTCTGAAGGCAGGAGGATGACTTCTACTTTGAGGCTAGCTGAGGCTATGTAACAGAACCCTGTCTCAAGAATCAAGCAATCTTCTAGAATGTAGCATCACTTACCTTCCGAGATTTCAAAGATTGATAAGGTCTTGAGTTGTTCTCACTATTCTTATCCCTGTAACAGTACTCATGCTGTCAGAGGTCAGACAACAAGGAAGAACAGTACCTTTATTTTTGAAACAGGGTCTCACTGTGTATCCCTGGCTGGCCTGGAACTCCATGTAAATCAGGTTGGCCTTGAATTCACAGAGATCTGCCTGCCTCTGCTTCCTGAGTGCTGGGATCAAAGGTGTATGCCACCATGCCTTGCTCTTCTATATTTTGAGGCTTACATTAACCTAAATTCCTCCAGTTGGTGCTCTGACCATTTCCTTTAGTTTGCAAGGTAAATGTTATTTAACTTGGTGTGTGAAATTTTATTTTTTGTTATTCTGTGGGCTTAACAATTCTCCATCTTATAGATACCCGAACTGAACATAACAGGGCCTGATTAATGTGAAGTATTAATATAATTTTGCTACTAATCACAATATTGGGCACAGTATTGGTCATTTATGGAAAGTAGTAAATGTAGTAATAGTGTTTGTTTTCTCTCATCACAACCCTAGGGTACCAGGTCCAAGGTGAGTTGGGGATGGGGGGAAATAATAAGTTGGATGAGTTTTTTGGGCTGCATACTAGTAATGTGGGTGCTTGGGACTATATCCCCTGCCACAGAGCCATGCATATTAGCTTAGAAGGGGTGTTGGCTGAATTTGAGGAAATGTGTTCACAGTTACATGCCAAAGGGGTTTCTCTTCCTTGTTGCAGTGTCTGAAGATGGAGAAGGCATCATCTTGCCCTCCATCATTGCCCCTTCCTCTTTGGCCTCAGAGAAAGTGGACTTCAGTAGTTCCTCTGACTCAGAATCTGAGATGGGACCTCAGGAAGCAACACAGGCAGAATCTAAGGATGGAAAGCTGACTCTACCATTGGCTGGGATTATGCAGCATGATGCCACCAAGCTGTTGCCAAGTGTCACAGAACTTTTTCCCGAATTTAGGCCTGGAAAGGTACTTTGTATAGAGAATGTCCATAATGAAAACTGACTTCTTCCAGATTCCAAATTCTGTTGTTATAATGCTGAATATATAGTGCATGAGATTTAATGATGTCCTTTTTCAGTGACAGATAATTGTTTGTATAGGAGCTTTCCATACTGTCTTAGATCATATTTTGAAGTCGTATGTATTCATAGGAAATGTGGCTTAGAATGTTTGCAGTAAAAATTGTCCAGCTGCCAGGCGTGGTCGTGGATTGCTGTGAGTTCAAGGCCAGCTTGGTCTACATAGTGAGTTCCAGGACAGCCAAGGCTATGCAGAGAACCCTGTCTCAAAAAACATCAACAAAATTGTCCTGTTAGTGGCTGGTGAGATGGCTCATTGGATAGAGGCACTTGCATGCATGCCTCAGGATCTGAGTTTGCTCCCCAGATCCCACAGATTGGTTGGAGAAAACCAACTCCTGAGACTTGTCCTTTGACCTCCACACATGTATTATGGCATGTACACCTGCACATGCACAAATATACACACACATAAATACATGACTAAATAAAATAACTTTCCTTTTTTTGGTTTTTTGAGACAGGCTTTCTGTTAGAATAAAAAGTAAACCAAGTGTTAGTTACTGTTCTATTGCTATGAAGAGACACCATGACCAATACAACTTAAAGGAAGGCATTTAATTGAGGGCTTGCTTAAAGTTTAAGAGGGTTAATCCATGTACAACATGACAGGGAACACAGTGACGGGCATGGCACCTAAGCAGTAGCAGAGAGCTTAAATCCAGATCTGCAGACAGAGAGCAGGTGAGACTGGGCCTGGCGTGGGCTTTTGAAACCTCAAAGCCCACCCCCAGTGACACACCTCCAATAAGGCTACACACCTTAATCCTTCCCAAATGAGCATCTTAATGAAGCCCTGTCATAAAAGCTAAGGGTTAGCCAGGCATGGTGGTGCATGCCTTTAAACCCAAGCAGAGGCAAGTGGATCTCTTAAGTTTGAGGCCAGCCTGTTCTACATAGTGAGATTCTGTCTCAGAAAACAAAAATAAAATAAAGCTAAGGACTGGGATTATAGCTCATTGATAGCATGTAAGTCCCTAAGTTCAAAGTCCAGTACCACATGAAAAAGAAAAAGGGAGAAAAAAAGAAACTGTCTTTCTGAGGGACAGTATTTTCATGGTCTGAACTTAGCATTCCTTCATTTTCTCCCCTGCAATTGAATAGATAACTTGAGAGTTTTTCAGACACCAAATCTCTGACATAATAGTATGTTATATGTTCTAGGTGTTACGCTTTCTACGTCTTTTTGGACCAGGAAAGAATGTCCCATCGGTTTGGAGGAGTGCTCGGAGAAAGAGGAAGAAGAAGCATCGTGAGCTTATACAGGAAGAGCCAATGCTGGAGGAAGAGTGCTCAGCAGAACAAGAAGTCAACCAGAAATCTCTGTGGAACTATGACTATGCTCCACCTCCACCTCCAGAGCAGTGTCTCTCTGATGATGAAGTAGGCAAAGTAGACATGGGGGCATGCAGAAAGCTCTCTAGCTTGTGTCAAAGTGGGAACTAACACTTCAGCATTAAGAGTTTTTTGCTAGCCGGGCTTGGTGGTGCATGCTTTTAATCCCAGCACTTGGGAGGCAGAGGCAGGTGGATCTCTGTGATTTCAGGGCCAGCCTGGGCTACAGAGTGAGTTCCAGGACAGCCAGGACAACATAGAGAAACCTTGTCTCGAAAAACCAAAAAAAAAAAAAAAATTCTTTGCTACTTACCAATAATAATTATGAGTTAAATGCAGTGTTTCACCTTTCCTGTTGTAACAGAAAAATATTTGGTGGGGCAGGGCAGGGTAGATGGTGATACATTGCTAAATATAAAGCTGTGACTCGTGGACAAAGCATGCGATGATATACCTCTTATTTTTGTATATTCTAACTCCAGGTAAAAATTCCTATTCAGGAATCATACTTGTGGTTCCTCTAAGTCACCTTATGATTGTTAATTTTCTTGTAGCCTTAGGTCATCTGGAATAGTGAAGCCCCACCTCTACATCTTTGACTCTGTTACAGATCACAATGATGGCTCCTGTGGAGTCCAAGTTTTCCCAGGCCACTGGAGACACAGATAAAGTGATGGATACCAAACCAAGAGTGGCAGAATGGCGTTATGGACCTGCCCGGCTGTGGTACGACATGCTCGGTGTCCCTGAAGATGGTAGTGGGTTTGACTATGGCTTCAAGATGAGGAAGACTGAACATGACCCCACAGTACAATGCAAAATGATGACGGTAAGCAATTCTGGTGGATAAGAAAGGGTTCTATCATTCTTACTAACTTCTCGGCTGGCAAGTTCTTGGGTAGAATCTTTAGTAGGAGATTTGCATAGTGGGGTATATCATCATGTAACTAAACTTGATTCTAAGGATTCTGTTTTTGAAATGGGTGCTGTTCCAAAGTAAGTTGGAGAAGAGGCAGATATTTTTTTTTTTCTTATCAGGCACTTTGCATAAGGAGAACATCATGTTTTTCTGTGCTAGAGATTGATCCCAGTCTGCCACTGCACTCTGCCACTGGGCTACATTCTCAACCCTTGGCTCTTTGAGGCAGGGTCTCACTTTGTATCCCGGACTGACCTCAAACTTGGAATTCTCCTTTCTGTCTCCCAGGTGCTGGGATTGCAGGTATTTGACACTAAGTCTGACACAGCACTACTTGTGTTACCACATGAATCCTTTACTGTCTGGATTGGAAACTTTGACCAGTGACTGACGTTTTTTTTCAGAGCTGAGGACCAAACCAGGAGCTAACTCCCAAACCCCCTGTGACTGACTTATTATTCTTTCTACTTGTACAGAAACTAAGGAATCTCGAGGAGGGCAATGGCATTGATCTTCTGGCAGATGAAAACTTCCTAATGGTGACACAACTGCATTGGGAAGATGACATCATCTGGGATGGGGAGGATGTCAAACACAAGGGAACAAAACCTCAGCGTGCAAGCTTGGCAGGCTGGCTTCCGTCCAGTATGACTAGGAATGCCATGGCCTACAATGTCCAGCAAGGTGTGCTTCTCTTCTAACAGTGTCGCACACACACACAGTTCTTCATCTCAGTCATCATAAGGAATCCATCCGAGTTACGGTCTTTTAGGCTGTTCAGGCAGAGTAAAATGCTTTAAATCTAATCCCTGATTTTATTTTCATTTTTTTTCAAATATATATATATAGCCTATGACTATCTACTTGTATAGTTTTATAAGAGATGATATCCTAAGTTAGAAAGCAGTCTTCTTTTTTTTTTAAGATTTTATTTATTTATTATGTATACAGTGTTCTGTCTGCACACACCCCTGCATGCCAGAAGAGGGCGCCAGATTTTATTACAGATGGTTGTGAGCCACCATGTGGTTGCTGGGAATTGAACTCAGGACCTCTGGAAGAGCAGTCAGTGCTCTTAACCGCTGAGCCATCTCTCCAGCCCCTATTTTCATTTTTTATTTATAAAGGCACTTGATCATTTTATAATTTTTTTCTCAACCATGAAAACTGTCAAAAAGAAAAATTCTGATATTCTAGAGATTATCAGTTATTAACTTTTTAATGTGTTTTCTGCATGTATATGGTTGAGCTTAGTTAAGTAATGTTGAGACAAGGTCTTGCTCTGTACCTGAGGCTAATCTGGAACTCACTCTATAGTCCAGGCTTTCCTAAAACTCACCATCTTCCTAATTCAAGCTTCTCAAGTACTATTATTATAAGTATTTCTTGCCATATATGATTTGAGTTCAGTGTCATACATACTGTTTTTGTTTTTTTTTAAGATAGTGTTGCGATGTAGATCAAGCTGGCCTTGAACTCACAGAGATCCACCTGACTCTGTCTTCTGAGTACTGTGGTAGTGGTGTTCTTTTTGGAGACAAGGTCCTACCTATCTTGTATCCCAGGCTGGCCTCAGATTTGCTGCAGTCTTCCTGCCTCAGTCTCACAAGTGCTGGGATTAGATGTGTAAGCCACTTCACCCATGCTACACTGTGGTTTTTCTCTTGCTTTTTTGTTTTTTGAGACAGGTCCTCACTGTGTAGTCCTGGCTGGCCTGGAACTTTATATATGTAGAACAGACTGGCCTATATTTATAGAGATCTGCCTGTCATTGCCTCCCAATTGCTGGGATTAAAGGTGTGTGCCACCACACCTTGTTGATTTTTTTTCTTAACACAATTTTTATATGTAAGTTTTTTTTTTTTTTTTTTTTTTTTGGTTTTTCGAGACAGGGTTTCTCTGTGTAGCTTTGCGCCTTTCCTGGAGCTCACTTGGTAGCCCAGGCTGGCCTCGAACTCACAGAGATCCGCCTGCCTCTGCCTCCCGAGTGCTGGGATTAAAGGCGTGCGCCACCACCGCCCGGCAATATGTAAGTTTTTAAAGTTGTTCATATAAATGTTTAAAGACGTGGAAACAATTATTTATTGAATTTTTAAATGAAAAATGGTTTTAAATACCTCCATCTTATCTGTTTATGATCTGTTTTCAGAGCTATCAGTTAGACTTGAAAGCACCTTTAAACAAGTCCTTGACGATCTCTAAATTATTCTTGGTGATCTTGATAACCCTTTAACCAACACTGAGGACAGAGGGTCATATTAAAAAGTCACGTTGATTTATTGGATTTTTGAGACAGGGTTTCATGCCATAGCTCTGGCTGTTCTACTACTTGCCATGTATGTAGTCTAGGCTTGCCTTGAACTTGAAGTAATCCTTCTGCCTTAGCCTCTTGAGTACTGTGATTAGAGGTAAATGCCAGGAAACATTTAAAATGGAAAGAAAACAAGATATGAAACAGCATATTTGGTATATTTCATTTGTAAAAATGAAAAACACAACTGTGTAAACAAAAATATGAGTAAGAGAAAATCTACTAAAGTATTGGCAATGATTATTTCTGGTTTCTTTTTTTCTCTTTATACCATTCTGTGTTATCCACATTTTCTCAGTTATGCTGGATTCATTGTACAGTTTAAGCCATACACCACCACCACTACCCCACCATTGATTTTTTTTTGAGACAGTCTTACAATATATAGCTCAGGCTGTCCTAGAACTCAGTATTTTCAGCCCCTACCTCTTGAGTGCTGGGACTATACATATGTACCACCACACCCAACTCAAAAATGTCTTAATTTTTTTTTCAAGACAGGGTTTCTCTGTGTAGCCTTGGCTATCTTAGAACTAGCTCTAGACCAGGCTGGACTTAAACTCAGAGATCCTCTTGCCTCTGCCCTGTAAATGCTGAGATTAAAGGCATGCACAACCATCTGACTAAAAAGGCCTTAATTTTTAAAATCTTGTAAAAAGGTTTTTCTCTTCAGTTCTAGTTAAATACTTTATTAGTTAAATAATTTTTCTTTTGAATTTTTGGGTTTTTTTGGGGGGGCAAAGTCTTACTGTGTAGCCCTGGCTGGCCTCCACTTGTCTCTGCCTTCCAAGTGCTAGGATTAAAGGAAAGTACCACCATACCCAACTCAGTTACATAGTATTTTTGATACAAGATCTTGGTGGGTAGCCAGTCAGGCCTCAAGCTTACAGTCTTTCTCTTAGCTTCCCAAGTGTATTATAGTATTCTTATTTTATGCATAATGTTCTTAGAAGTTTGTTTTTCTTACTTATCAGTAATTGCTTTATTTGTTAATATAGTTAAATACCAATGTTTATCACCATATATATATTGTTTGATATTGGTTTTTTTTTTTTTTTTCTTCGAGACAGGGTTTCTCTGTGTAGCTTTGCGCCTTTCCTGGAACTCACTTGGTAGCCCAGGCTGGCCTCGAACTCACAGAGATCCGCCTGGCTCTGCCTCCTGAGTGCTGGGATTAAAGGCGTGTGCCACCACCGCCCGGCTTGATATTGTTATATATATTGTTTATCAGAGATGGGGTTTCACTGTGTAGCTATGGCTGTCCTGGAATTCACTTTGTAGACTAGACTGGCCCTGAACTCAAAGAAATCCACCTGTCTCTGCCTCCAGAAGGCTGGTATTAAAGACGTGTGTCATGACCTCCTGGCTCACCATAATTTTTTATTTAATTTGTTTATTTTTATTTTATGTGTATTGGTGTTTTGCCTGCAGTTATGTCTGTGTGGGGATATCAGATCCCCTGGAACTGGAGTTATAGTGATAAGCTACCATGTGGGGCCTGATAATTGAACCTAGGTCCTCTGGAAGAACAGCTAGTGCTCTTCTTTGAGCCATCTCTCCTGCCCTTAACCATAATTATTTAATTAGTCCCTTAGTAAGTAGGCTGTTTAAGTTTTAACTGTTATAAACAATATTGCAGTGAACATTTTGTCATTAATGGTTTCTGTCAAAGTGAGCTTTACATGATATCAAGAAGGTTCCTTTTGAGTAGCTATGAATACCTACACTAATATTGTTTTTATGTTTGCTAGAATCATGACTGAAAGGAGCACTAATGTTTTTTTTGTTACTGTTTTCTCCTCTTGTTTTGGCCAGGTTTTGCAGCCACACTAGATGATGATAAACCTTGGTATTCCATTTTCCCCATTGATAATGAAGATCTGGTATATGGACGTTGGGAGGACAATATCATTTGGGATGCTCAGGCAATGCCCCGGATTCTGGAGCCTCCTGTATTGACACTTGATCCCAACGATGAGAACTTGATTTTGGGTATGGTGATGGCAGAAGCCAGTGTTCTATATCTTTGACATCTTACTATTAATGTCAAAGGGCAAAAGGAATTCCAAAGGGCAAATCTAGAACTTTTTATTAATTAAATTTATTCATATATTTTACATACCGACTGCAGTTTCCCCTCCTTTCTTTCCTCCCATTCCCTCTCCCCCCGAAACTAAAAACGTTTAGGAAATGATTTTTAAAAAGAGATGTAGCTGCCAGTTTCTAGTGTTTGAGTGTTTAGAAAAAACTCATGTAGGAATGTTGAAAATTTTATCTTTAAGATCAGACATGTAAGCCAGGCATGGTGGCACATGCCATTAATCCCAGCACTTGGGAGGCAGAGGAAAGCAGATCTCTGTGAGTTCAAGGCTAGCCTGGTCTACAAAGAGAGTTCCAGGACAGCCAGGACTGGTACACAGAGAAACCCTGTCTCGAAAAACCAAAAATAAAAAAAAAAGATTAGGCTTGTAGTTGAGTGAATTACCAACTGAAAGTGGAGTGAGAAATCTACTTTGAAACTCAAAATATCAATGGGAAATGTGAATTTTAGTTGGGCCTGGTGGCATGTGTCCCAGGTACCTGGGAGGCCAAGGCAGGAAGACTGTAAGTTCAAGGATTGTCTAGGCAACAGAGTATGTTCCAGGGCAGCTTTGTCAACTTAGTGAGATCCTGTCTAAAAATAATGCGAAAGGAGGTCAAGATGACTGGAGATGTCGCTCAGTGGTAGAGTCCTTGCCTAGCTTGTGTAAGACCTTAGTTTTAGTCCTTAGTACTGCATAGAGGGGTGTGGGAAAGGGTGAGAGAGAGGTGAAATGGAAAGAGGAAGGGAAGAAGGGGAGGAGGAAAGAAAGAAAATGAGCATTTAGGGATAGCAATTTGGAAGTTTTCTGGTTCCATCCTCAGAGATCCCCGATGAGAAGGAAGAAGCTACTTCTAATTCTCCTTCCAAGGAGAATAAGAAAGAATCATCTCTGAAGAAGAGTCGAATTCTCTTAGGAAAAACAGGAGTCATCAAGGAAGAACCACAGCAGGTTTGTGAAAAGAAAAGAACTTGGTATTTAGAAGAACAAAGAAAGGTATTAGGAAAGGGTTGTCTGACCGAGGCTTATTTGATCTATCATTAGAACATGTCTCAGCCAGAAGTGAAAGATCCATGGAATCTCTCCAATGATGAGTATTACTATCCCAAGCAACAGGGTCTTCGTGGTACTTTCGGAGGGAATATTATCCAGGTACAAATAGCTGCTTTGTTTTGGTGGAGGATATTCGTAAATCTTGCCTAGAAAGGAGTTAGTGTTTACTCATAACTCTTCTGTTTTCTGTTTAGCATTCAATTCCCGCAGTAGAATTACGGCAACCCTTCTTTCCTACTCACATGGGACCCATCAAACTCCGGCAGTTCCATCGACCACCTCTAAAAAAGTACTCCTTTGGGACACTATCTCAGCCAGGTCCACACTCAGTCCAGCCTTTGCTGAAGCACATCAAAAAGAAGGCAAAGGTATAATTGCATCCTCATTAGAAAAAATGTTCTGTAAGATAATTGGGGTACAAATTGGGATACTGTACTGGTTATTAGGTTATATTAGAGAACTATTTTTTCAGATGTGATACAGTTTTATTTTGGTTATCTAGAAAGATATCCTTGTTCTTAGAAGATATATATGAATACACTTAAGGCTAAAATATTGCAGCTTTCAAAACTGGTTTACTAAAATCTGTAGAAAATTTACAGATAAATAGTGAAAATGTTTAAGTAGTGAAATAAAGGATGTTCTTCCAATTTTAGTGGTATGTTTGAAAGTTTTCACAATGAAATGAAAAGAAAATTAACATTGTTGTTCAAATCTTAGATGGTCTTTTAATTAAAAAAAAAAAAACAGTGAAAGCTGAAAGATCAGAGAAGCAGAGCAGTCAGCCACTAGTTCTTACCTCTACGAAATCCTCAGCCTAAAGAGAGTGAGTTCCTGTTTCCTCACACCTTATATACCTTTCTCTGCCCTGCCATATTACTTCCTGGGATTAAAGGCATGTGTGCTTCCCGAACAGAGGCATGAGATCTCAAGTGCTGGGATTACAGGTGTGTGCCACCACTGCCTGACCTCTATATCTAATATAGTGGCTGGCTATGTCCTCTGATCCTCAGGCAAGTTTATTAGGGTACACAATATATCACCACATTTAAGAACTAGTGGCTGGCTGTTCTACTTCTCTGATCTTTCAGCTTTCACCTTGATTTCTGGCTCTGTTTTTTTTTTTTTTTTATTAAAAAGCAACTAAGATTCAAACAACATAACATGGTAAAGACATTGATATTCTCTCAAATTGGATGATGTCAATGTGTGTAGTTTATCTTCCTGTTGGAAATAGGCTGTATTGTCTTTATTCTGGACAGATGAGAGAGCAGGAGAGGCAAGCCTCAGGTGGTGGAGAGATGTTTTTTATGCGCACGCCTCAGGACCTTACAGGCAAAGATGGAGACCTTATTCTTGCAGAATACAGTGAGGAAAACGGACCATTAATGATGCAAGTTGGCATGGCAACCAAAATAAAAAACTACTATAAAAGGGTGAGTCTGTGCTGTACTCTGTGTGTGTGTGTGTGTGTTTAAAAAAATACTTATTTACATTTATTTTCTGTGTATGAGTGTTTTGCTGCATGTATGTATGTATGTGTACTACATGTATGCCAGGTGCCTGAGGGGGCCAGAAAAGTGCTCAGATCCTCTGGAACTGGAAGTTTGGATGGTTGTAATCCACCATATGTGTGCTGAGAACCAATCCTGGGTCCTCTGTAAGAGCAACAAGTGCTCTTAACCATGAAGCCATTTCTCCAGTCCCTGAAATATTTGTTATCAATATAACTGTAATTAGTTATGTAGTGATAATCTGTGAACATGTATTTTGTCATACACATTTCTTGGGAGAAAGGAGTGGTGTCTCTTGTTAATAGCAAATGCTATGCTTATGGAAGATTACATGTGTGTTTTTGGTTTTATTCTGTGAGTCTAACTGAGTTTACTATGTTTCTCCTAGAAACCTGGAAAAGATCCTGGAGCCCCAGATTGCAAATATGGAGAAACTGTTTATTGCCATACATCTCCTTTCCTGGGCTCTCTCCATCCTGGCCAGTTACTGCAGGTGAAAAATTCTTTCCTGTCTTTATTCTCTCCTAAAGAAATTGACAGATAAGGAGCAAGTTTGCCCAGAAAGAAACAATTCTGGTTGATTGAGGTACTGTTTATGTATAGGTATAATGTAGTAAAAGTGATGGTGGGTCTGGTGGTGCACACCATTAATCTCAGCACTTGGGAGGCAGAATTTGAGACCAGCTTGGTCTACATACTGAGTTCTAGGTCAGCCAGGGCTATGTATTAAGACCCTATCTCAAAAAAGGAGGGGTCTGGAGGGATGGCTCAGCATCTAAGAACACTGGCTGTTCTTCCAGAGGACTGAGTTTGATTCCCCAGCACCTAGATGGCAGCTCAGAAACATCTGTAGCTCTTACTTCCAGAGGATCTGAACCCTCTTCTAGCCTCCTTGGTCACTTCATCTGTGTGGTACACAGACATAGATGAAGGCAAAACACTCAGACACATTTTTAAGAAATAAAAAATAAAGAATTAAAAGTAAAAATTTAGTATAATCTACTGGACATGGAGGGCAGGAGGATCAGGAGTATAACGTCATCCTTGGCTATGTTGCAAGTTTGAGGTCAGTCTGGTAAACCAGCAAAAGATCAGTATAATTTAAAGTTTAAGACAAACTTTTTTTCTTTGGTTTTTTTTTTTTTTTTTTTTTTTGGTTTTTCGAGTCAGGGTTTCTCTGTGTAGCTTTCCTGGAACTCACTTGGTAGCCCAGGCTGGCCTTGAACTCACAGAGATCCACCTGCCTCTGCCTCCTGGGTGCTGGGATTAAAGGCATGTGTCACCACTGCCTGGCGTCAAACTTTTTTTTCTTAAAAATAATTCTCAGTTATTTTTCAGATTTTTTCCTTAGGCTAAATATAGAATAGTGGGTATTTTTTTTATTGTTTTGTGGTTTTTTTTTTTTTTTGTGTGTGTGTGTGTGTGTGTGTGTGTATTTTTTGATCTAGGATCTTACTCTTTAGCACAGACTGACCTGAAACTTACTATGTAGCCTAGATTGGCCTCAAACTTTGGGGCAGTCCTTAGCCTTATGAGTACTGGGATTGCAAATAAAAAATAAAACAGCTTTTTGAAAATATACGTGATGGTGGTGATGCACACATTAATCCCAACACTAGGGAGGCAAAAGCAGGTGGATCTCTATGAGTTTGTGGCCAGCCTGGTCTACATAGTGAGTTCTAGGACAGCCAGAGCTACATAGTGATACCTGGTTTCAAAAAAAAAATGGAAAGAAGGAAAAAATATATAAAAATACACACTGGTAGCTGGGTATGGGTGGTGCCTGCTTGCAATCCCAGTACTAGAAGGCGCAAGTTTGAGGCTAGCCTGGAGTATAGAGCGAGACCTTGTCTCAAAAATAAAAAAGCAAAAACAAAACACTGGGAAGTCTACGTAGAATTAATGTAGGTTATGAGTGTTTTAAATTTTTTGTGTGAAATTAGTATGTTTGAGGAACTAGAAATGTCAGCTCAGTGATAGAATGCTTACCTAGCATGTTGAAGGCTCTGGCTTTGTGTCTAGCACTGCAAAAAAAAAAAAAAAGTGGTACATTTTGATGGTAATTAGTTGTGGCCATTGTGAATACTGAATCATACTTGAATCATATTATCGTCTCGCCAGAGTGAAGTGCTGCTTTTTGTGCTTTTTTCTGAAGGTTATAGTGAGGCCCTCTGGCAGTAGCTTTTAAAAAGAACTATGGAGGTCCACAAATGATACGGAACAATCTCCAGAACTTTTTTTCTCCCATTTCATTTCTCAAGCTAATCTTTTCCTTTTTTCCTCTTTCTTTTTTTTAGACAGGAACTTACTCTGTAGTCTAGAAATGGCCTGGAACTTGGTATATAGACAAGTTTGGCCTTGAACTTTTAGCAACTCTCCTGGCTCTGCCTCCCAAGTGCTAGAATTCCAGATGTGTGACACAGTGTCCATAGCAATCTTAAATATAGCAATCCTTTATTCTTGTATCTTATTTATTTATTCCACTGTCACTATTGCCAGCTTTTCTGCACCTGCAAGTTCTTTAATCATTCCTTCTAGGTTTATCAGGGCAGGTAGAACTGGAGAATTAAACCTGGGGCCTTGTATATGCAAGTCTGAGACTAGTCTGGTAAAATGAGTCACACCCTTAAGTCCCTCTCACCAGATTCTGATTATTGTTTGCTTTCCTGTTCTTGTAATTTTCTTTGAGATTTCTTGTTGGTGGTTTTTAAATAATCCATCTTATTCTCTTGTGACTACTTTTATAGTTTTTTTTAACAGTGTGTGTGTGTGTGTGTGTGTGTGTGTGTGTGTGTGTGTGTGTGTGTGTGTGTGTTAGGGAGGTTGAAGGACAATTGCAGGAGTCAATTCTTGCTCTACCATGTGAGTCTTGGGGATTGAACTCAGGTTTAAGTTTGGTGGCTAACATTCTTACCTGCCAAGACATCTTGATGTCTCTGGGTTTGTTTTTGTTTTTGTTTTGTTTTTTTTCCCTTCGAGATGGGAGTCTTAGGTAACACAGGCTTCCCAAGTGCTAGGATTATAGGTGTGTACCGCCACCATGCCCAATTGTTTGTAGGGCATGTTTGTGCGTGCATGCATGTGTGTGTGATGACATGAGTGTGTGGGTACATGTACATGCAGAGGTCAGAGCAGGATATTTCACTTTTGTGGTTCTTAATTCAAAATATCACTTGAATGGCCCTGATAGTTTTTGAGGGACTCTCAAACTTCTGTCTAAAACTTCATAAGCCATGTTTCCATCACCTGCCCTGTTCTCAGCATTATCTTAGAAGTTTCCATAGAAAAGATGATTAAACTCTGAGCACTCGGTGGCTTTTGCAGCCCAACATTCCAAACTCCTTTAAAAATCCTCCCCCCCAAAACCCACATAGTCATGTGTGTCACAGCAATATCCATGATCCTGGTACCAATTTTTCTGTCTGAGGATTTCTATTGCTGTGATAAAGCACCATGACACACCAGGATTTACATGGGGGAAAGAAAGAATTGACTCATGCAAGTTGTCTTCTTGTCTTCTACACACTTGTACTTCATGACACACATGTGCCCACATTTGTGTACACACACACACACACACACACACACACACACACACTCTAAATAAATGAGAAATGCAACTAAAATTTTAATAGATTATTTACTATCTTCTGTAAGTCTATCTATAGTGAACATTAAGAATTTTTCTCAGCTGGGTGGTGGTGGCATATACCTTTAATCCCGGCACTCAGGGGGCAGAGGCAGGCGGATCGCTGAGTTCAAGATTGGCTTGGTCTACAGAGCGAGTTCTAGGACAGTCAGGGCTACACAGAGAAACCATGTCTCTAATGACCCCCCCCACACACACACACTGAAAAAAAGAATTTAATTTCTCCACCAGTATGATGAAAGTCTTCCTTTTTAATGCTCATTAGTAGGATTTTTTGTTTGTTTTTGTTTTTCAAAAGAGGGTTTCACTGCATAGCCCTGGCTATCCTGGAACTCAGAGATCTGCCTGCCTTTGCCTCCTGAGTGCTGGGATTAAAAGCATGTGCCACCATGCCTGGCATTATCAGGATTTTTAAAAAATGATTTATTTATTTTTATTTTTTCTATGTATTATTGTGTCTGTGTGAGGGTGTCAGATCCCCCTGGAACTGGAGTTGCAGACAGTTGTGAGCTACCATGTGGATGCTGGGAATTCAATTCGGGTCCTCTAGAAGAGCAGTCAGTGCTCTTAACCACTAAGCCATCTCTCCAGACCCCATTATTAGAACTTTTTTTTGTCTTTTTTTTTTTTCAGAGCTGAGGACCGAACCCAGGGCCTTGCACTTGCTAGGCAAGCTCTCTACCACTGAGCTAAATCCCCAACCCCTATTCGGACTTTTAAACAATTATTTTTATTATTTGTTTGTGCATACATGTTGAACCAGAAGAGGGTGTCTGATTACTTGTATCTAAAGTTTTAGGTATTTCTTAGCTGTCAGATGTGGATACTAAAATTAGAACTCCAGGCCTCATAATCGAGTAGCAAGTGCCTTTAACTGCTTAGCCATCTCCCCAGTTCTCTTAGGATGTTTTTGGTGGTGGGGGATACTTTTTTTTAGATTCCGAGTTTATAATAGTTGATCCCTATCTTGTTTCTACTTTTTTTAAAAGTGCTTTTTAAAAAAATTTATTTGTATTTTATGTGCATTGGTGTTTTGCCTTCATGCATGTATGAGGGTGTCAGATCCCCTGGAATTGGAGGTACAGACAGTTGTGAGCTGCCATGTGGGTGCTGGGAACTGAACCTTCATCCTCTGGGAGAGCAAGCCAATGCTCTTAACGTCTGAACATCTCTCCAGCCTCCCTGGCTTCTACTTCTATCTCAGATATTTCTGTCCAACTGCTCTTCTGCTTTTGTTCATTCTGTCCTCTTAGCAGATTTTCCTTCATTGTTTTGTTTAATTTTTAATTAATTAACTAATGTATTCAAAAATGTTCTGAAGCCAGGCACGATGCCTGGGATCCTAGTACTCAACAGTCTAGTGATACAGGAGAACTGCCTTGTTTTTGAGACCTCCGTGGGCTTCTGTGAGACCTCGTCCCTCTAAATTGTTTTGTCTTCACCTCTTGTGCATGAGACTGGAGGGTAGGAGTATATTACTACATTAATGTATAAAAAGCTCCTCATAGTAGTTCTGGGAAGTATAGGTATTTTAAGTAGCCTGTATTTTGTAGCTGAGGAAACTTAAGCTCAGAGACTTTGACTTGAGTGACTTCATACAGTGACTGCCATAGGCTCTTTCTTCTGAATCTAAACCATATATTTTCATTTCTTTTTTTTTTTTTTTTGAGTCAAGTGTCTCTTAAATAGCCTGTGTTGCCTTCAAATTTGCTGTGTGGCCAAGGATGGCCTTGAACCCCTGATCCTCTTGCCTCTACTTTCCAAGTGCTGAGAGATTATAGGTATTTGTTATAACACCTTTTCTTCCAATACTGTTATTTAATTTCTTTATTTGTGTGTATATGTGGGGATTATATGCATATAATAATATGTGTGGAACTCAGAGCCAGAGGTCAATATTGGTTGTCTTTCTCTGTTAGTCACTACCTTATTTTTTTGAGATAGCATCTCTCATAGATCCTGGAGTTTACAGTTTTGCTTGGACTGGTTGGCCAGTGGTTCTCAAGGATCTTGTCTTCACTGATCCTCTCCCTGTCACCACTGGGATTATTGACAGATGCCTCTGTGTTCAGCTTTTTAAGTGAGTGCCGGGGATCCAGACTCAGGTTCTCATGCTTATACAACAAGCACTTTACCTGCTGAACCATCTCCCAGCCTCATTCTATTCTTTTTTGAGGGATGGGGTCCTCATGCGGCCAGATTGGCCTCAAATTCACTCTGTAGTCAAGGCTGACCTTTAATTCCTAATCTTCCTGCTTTCCTAACAAAGGCTGGGATTAAGGGAATATGCCACTAGGTCTTGCTCTGACTCATTTTTTAAAAAAAGATTTCTTTTTGTCTGTTAAATTCTAAAAGATAGTGGGTAAAAAAAATAATATCAGCCAGGCAGTGGTGGTACATGCCTTTAATCCCAGCACTCAGGAGTCGATGGAAGGCAGATTTTTTAGTTGGAGGCCAACCTGGTCTACAGAGCGAGTTCTAGGACAGCTAAGGCTACAAAGAGAAACCCTGTCTCAAAAAACCAAAATAATCATCATCATCATCATCATCATCATCATCATCATCATCTTGTTTGCTATTCCATATCATTTGCTTATTTTATTGTATAGATTTTAGATCTAATGAATATAGATAGTGGTAAGTTTTATTTTCCTTTTTCAATCGTTGGCTGAATTTTCTAGGGTTTCTTTGTAAATAACTTTTGTGGTTTACTTTCATTAGGCATTTGAGAACAATCTTTTTCGTGCTCCAATTTATCTTCATAAGATGCCAGAGACGGACTTCTTGATGATTCGAACAAGGCAGGGTTACTATATTCGAGAATTAGTGGACATTTTTGTGGTGGGCCAGCAGTGTCCCTTGTTTGAAGTTCCTGGTCCTAACTCCAAAAGGGCCAATACACACATCCGAGACTTTCTGCAGGTAAGATGGGAGTTGGGCTAAGATGCACATGCTAATAAAAAGATGTAAACATAGCTGAGCTTAGTTGGGGAAGGGACCCTGGTGAGGACTTTTATCCTTTATCTAATAAAGTGTATTTGACTTACTGGACAGGTTTTTATTTACCGCCTCTTTTGGAAGAGTAAAGATAGGCCACGGCGTATCCGGATGGAAGATATAAAGAAAGCCTTTCCTTCACATTCAGAAAGCAGCATCCGGAAGAGGCTAAAGCTCTGTGCTGACTTCAAACGTACAGGTCATCAGTGTGACTACTTGTCTTTTCTGTGATACTCTCATAATCCCAAACAATTATAACTTTCAGTTAAAAGAAGTCATAGCTAATAGAATAGAAATTGATGTCTGTCAAAAGGAGAAGGTACCAAATCTTGTAACTAGAGACTTTGATTGCTTTTTTTTGATAATTGGTTACTAGGAGAGTCCATGTGAGTTATTTGCATGTCTTACTTAAGATGTAGGAAACCTGGCAGTGGGGTTTTGTTGACTAGTCCTATCTAGACATTACTTGGTTCAATGTCAGTTTGCTATACTATTACTTTGGGTTCTTTAGAAGTCAGAGCAGTTTCTCCGTGTCTTTTCCAGGGATGGATTCAAACTGGTGGGTGCTGAAATCTGATTTTCGTTTACCAACTGAAGAGGAGATCAGAGCTATGGTATCGCCAGAACAGTGCTGTGCTTATTATAGCATGATAGCTGCAGAGCAGAGACTAAAGGTGAGCCTCTTCTTGTTAAGCACTGCTTATGTCTATTTTTCTTTTCAGAGACATAGAAGAGAATACTCGGGAGATGATAGTTACTAGATTATTACCAGTTATTCAACAATTTGAACTGCATGAGGTACTTTCTGTGTGTATGGATTCTAGGGGAAGTTATGGTGTAGCTAAATGTCAATGTGAGGCTCTGTGAGGGACTTAAGTCCTATTGCCTTGCTTTAAAAATGATAGATCATTCATTTGGGTGGTGACTCTTTTGTAAAATAAGCAGGAAAAGGACTTTTCAGATTCCCGGGTAGGCAAAGATGATAGCTGGAATGGGATACAGGTAAAGCCATGGAACACATGGCGATACATAGATTAATAGTTATGAGTTGAGTTAAACTATAAGAGCTAGCTGGCAAGAGGCCTGCTGTAGACCATACAGTTTGTAAATAATATTAAGCCTCTGAATGATTATTTTATAAGCAGCTGCAGGACCGAGGGCCAAGTGGAACCGGGTGGAACCGGGCGGGGCTGGAGAAACCTGGCTACACTTTACCATTGAGCCATCTCTCCAGCCCCATTAGTTAGGGTTTCTATTGCTCTGAAGAGACACAATGACAGTAGCTACTCTTACAAAGGAAAACATTTCAAATTGGCGCTGGCTTACAGTTCAGAGGTTTAGTCCATTATCACCATGGCAGAAAGCATGGCAGCATGCAGGCAGACATGGTGCTGGAGAGGTTTTCATTCAAAACACTACAAAGGCTAGAACAGAAGAAGTCCAACTGAGAAATTCTGTAGTTAGAATCTCTCTTTAGTTTAGTTTGCCTTTTAAATGGGCCCTAGCTATTCACATATCCACATACATTCCTTGAAAATTTTTCGTGTGGGGGCTAGAGAAATGGCTGAACAATTTTGAGCACTTCCAGAGGACCTGGGTTCTGTCCCCAGCACCTACATGGCAGCTCACAACTGTTTGTAACTCCAGTTCCAGGGGATCTGACACTCTCACACAGATATACATGCAGGCAAAACATCAATTCACATAAAATAAAAATCAATTATTTTAAAAATGATTCTAGAAAAAAAACTTTGTGTGAACACAGGACCTTTGCACACGCTAGGCAAGCATTCTGCCACTGAACTATATCCCTAGAGCAGATTCCTTGAAATTTGGCATATCTTCTAGTAGCTCAAGAATGCATAATAGTAATACATACATTGAAAACTACAGAATCCATTTTCTATGCTGTTTCGGTTGGTATTTTGGTATTCGGTAAAACTGTTTTCAGAAAAAAAAACTTTTTTCCATTGACTTTATTCATACATAGAGTTGTCCTCTTTCAGGATGCTGGCTATGGAGAGAAGTCCTTTTTTGCCCCTGAGGAAGAAAATGAAGAGGATTTCCAGATGAAGATTGATGATGAAGTAAGGTTTTACAAACTATTTTTTTGAGACAGAATCTTGCTCTGTAACACAGTCTGGCCTGGAAACTTTAAATCTTCCTCCCTGTCTCCCAATTCTTGAGAGTACAGACACATACCAACATGTCCAGCAA